AAAGCAGAACAACGAAACGAAACGCAACATAGCCAAGGGACGCGCGGAACTTCACCGAACTGGCGAGATAACGTAACAAAAGTGGAAGATACCCACCGGTCGTGAGTCTTGTCTCCCCAAAGTTTCACTTAACCATCCCAGCACCGATCCCTTTGTCCGTGAAAAAACCCTCCTCTTTCATTTTATTAATCTTTTCGATGTATTCATTTTTGATGGCAACTTCTCGTTCGTCTTCCTCATCCTGTTCATTTGCTTCGGCGTCCTTTTCCTTTTTGTCCTGCTCTGTTTCTGCGTCGTCCTCGTCATCCCCCTGCTGGGAGGACCTCTTCCTGGACTTCTTCTTCTTTTTTTTCTCGTCTGTTCCCTCCGTTTCCTTTAGCTTCCTCACTTTTTTTTTCTTCTGGAGCGCTAGCACCTGCAGAGGGGTGGGGTGGGGGTAAAAAAACGGTTCAGCAGGCATTCCAAAGGTGGTATATATATGTGCACACGGCGATGCATGTCCCAAACAACAATATTGTCAACAGAGTGGAGAAGACGAACGGTAAAATATGAAAACACAGTGAAACATGAGAGAAGTTGGAAGAGCTTTTCTCACTGTATGTCCTGCGCATTTACGACGATGTTTGCTCAACGGGGAAAACCACGCTAGGTCCTTTTTTTCACATCATTTTCGCGATCCGTCGCCATCTCTTTACTCACCTGAGCCAAGAACGATCCGTCGTTTTTAAATTTGTTGTACATCTTGGGGTCTACATAACGCTGCGTGGGGTTGCTGCCCCCTTCATTCACGTTAGTGGCGGGGGACGACACCCCATCTTCTTCTTTACCGTCGTCCGCTTTCATTTCTTCCACTGGCTGATCGCCCAGAGAGTCATCGTCCTTGCCTTTCTCCTCCCCCTTTTCGGCCATCCTTCTGCCGAGGGGGGTTTCTCTCAAGGGGTGACGCAAATGGGTTGGCAGAAGAGCTGCTTAGCGACAGAAGGGATTGGCTGCTTAAACGCCCAATGGGATGGGGGGGGAGAAAAAAAAAAAAAAGTATGCCTTTTTTGTATGACCTGTTCAGAATTTTTTTTTTCTTTTCTTTTTTTTTTTTTTTTTTTGTACAGTTCATTTTATGCCCTCTCGTGGTCCATTAACTCCCCCGTTGGGGAAAAAGGGTTTTCTTTTTTTCTCCGCAGGCTATACTTTACCCGCGTTGCTGTCATCCCATTTACGTTCGTGTTCCTGACGCGGGAAGTACAGAAGGGACAGGTGAAGGTACACGCGCTGGCGTAATTGTCCTCTTGCGTGTGGGCTCTTCTCCCCGTCAGTAAAGGACCATCGGTTGAAACTCAAAAAAGGGAAGAAAGGACAATTTACAGAAGGCCCAGCCGCATACGCCCACTTTCTCGTGTGAAATGTGACTGGCAGTAAATTTCCCTTTCGTGCCATAATGGAGATGGTTACGTCACTCGAAACAAATGGTAATCTAATCGGGGAGAAAACGAATCCTTTCGCTGGCATCCCGCGCCGGAAAACTAAACTGTTAAGCATGCACCTCTTCTGTGTGTTGGTTTAGGACAGGACCTAGCGGTGGAAGTATACCCTCTCCTCTTCACGATGTAGCAGCAAGGTTGCGCTGTGTAAGTACCACCGCAAAAAGGCGAAGCCGAAAAACTGCACAGCAGAACAGCCAAACAACCGAACAACCGAAGAGTCGGACAATCGAACAGGCAAACAGCAGGGGGGCCCCTCCAAGAGAGCTACCCCCCTCACAACTCCGAGTGAGTGTTCCCAATTGGCAGGGGGGGACAGGGGTACCCGGGCATAACACATAGGTGCGCCCTCCACAGGTATACATATGTATATATGTATAATTGTCTTTTTTTTTTTTTAAACGGTCGAAGTTCTCGCAGGGGGATCGAAATGGGCTCAATGCGGAATTGCCAGCTCGCCCGTGTTCGTTAGGAAAAAAAGGCGAAATGTCAAGGGGGGAAAATGTAACGTCAAACTGTGGCGTGCAAAGTGTCACGTGCAAACTGTGACGTCCAAACTGTGACGTCAAAATGTAGCGTGCAAACTTGGGGGCACAGGCTGCCCGCTCATCCGGACCCCTCGATGTGCGTCACGATGTCAGCGACGTTGGTGCCAACCTTGATGGGCTTGCCGAAGAACAAACTGCTGGAGGCGGTCGACAAGTAGTCTGCGAAGAGAGGGGGGGGAAAAAAGGTAATGAGGAAATTTTATACCCAGGGGTTGGGTGAGGCCAGGAGAAATATACTCTGCACCTGCGTAAGGACGATTGTACACACGTGCGTACATTTTCCCAGACGTAACACACTTCTCCACACGTGTGGACACTCCCCGACTTACCAATTGAGTTGTGCACGCATCCCTGCGTGAGGAAATTCGTGGCGCACTCGAAGCTCATCTTGTGGAAGACGTTGCGGAAGCACCCCAGTCCGTGTCTGCTGAACGATTTGAGGTCGCCTACGGGGAGAAAAAAAAGGAGCAGGTTGATGAATCGAAAAAGGAATACACTAATGGGTCATAAAATGAAGACACTAATGGGTAGATCAGTGGAGGCGAAGCGGCCCCGAATTGATCTGCGAGGTGCCGTTCCCCTCGTACAGTCCGCCTCATCCGCCGCGTCACCGCGTCCGCCGCCTCCCCCGCAACTGTTTTTTTTTCCCTACCTGTGTGCGTCATAAAATCGCTAATAAAAGACAGATGGCGGAAATCGATCTTAATTCCGTAGGCCTCAAACACCTTCTTGAGCTCCTTCGTAATACACAGTCGACCTGCCTCAATCCCATACGTCTTCACGATCGTATAAATGTCGTTACAATACAGTTTCGTCTTATCAATAAATTTATCCTTGATATTGTAAAGCTTAAAAATATTCTTCCCTTCGATCTGCAGCTCATACTCAGCACCGGTGTGTGTTATGTCCTTCCCTTTTAGCACTTTGGGATTATTCAGATCTTTAACTTTAAAAAGGATTTCTTTGGCTAGTTCTGTCTGCACGTAACTTAAGAAATCAATGGCGTGAGGGAAGAAGTTAATGTCCCATCCGATCTCAAATTTGAGTGTCCATGTCACTGGAGAGAAGCTGATGTTCTTGACGAAGCACAACAGACTGGACTTTAGCTTTTCCATGATATTTTTTACACACTTTTTGTTTTCACTTTGCATTTTCGCTGTGCTGTGTTCTCCTTCCATTCTTTCGTCATCCTCCCCGTCGTCACTACCGTTCTGTATGTTCACGTTATTTTTATAGTCGTATGGGAGGTTTGCGAAGTCGTTGGCGATTCTCTTTTCCCACGCATCGTCTCGGCTGGCATCGCTGCGGTAGTCTTTGCTTTCGTCTTCTCGGTAGTCCTCCTTTTCATCGTCACAGTAGTCCTCCTTCTCATCGCCTCGGTAGTCCTCCTTCTCATCGCCTCGGTAGACTACCTCCCCGTCTGACTGGTTCCCGCTCTCCTCTGTGTAGACCTCTTCCCCGATCCGCTCCGCCGATGTGGACCTCTCGGAGAGGGGGGACCCGTTCGTCGTCAGCTTCGCAGCCCCGCTGGCAGGTTCCACTCTAGGAGCCCCCCCAACTGCCCGTCGCTTCTCCTTCGTGCAACCCTCCTCCATCAGCGGGGCATTATGTGTGATACTGGGGGCGAAGGAGAACCCGTTATCCGTGCGGGCCATGTCGGACTCTTCCGAAAGTTGGGATTTCATATCTGTAGTTCTTCCCCGCTTGCGCGTTTCCTTTGCACTCGTCAGGGGGATAACGTTCCCCTCGTCGAGCTGCTCCTCCCTGTCCAGCTGCTCCTCCCCGTCCAGCTGCTCCTCCTCTTCCAGCCGCTCGTCGTCCTCCTCCTCCTCCAAGTCCCCCTCGCTTCTCTCACTTTCGTCGTAGTCTTTCTCCTCTTCAGACGCAGAGTCTGCGTCACCATCAGCTTCCTCCTCCGATTCGCTGCTGCTGCCGCTCTGTCTTTTCTTTCCATCCTGCCCGCCATACCCCTCATCCTCCGTGTTGTCCTCTCCACCATCATGGTTATTGCTCCCTCCAAAGGTTTTTCCATCCATGTCGTCACTTAGTGCCTCTTCTTCATTACCATACTTGCTGGAAGGAGCTCCTCCGTTGGTTCCCTTCTCAAAGAAGCCACCCCTTCCTCCTCCGTCGTTATAGCCGTCTTCCTCGTCTATGTGATTCTCATCTCGTATGATACCAGCGTCGGTGTCGTTCGTGGATCCGATCCCGGCTGCTCCTCCCCCTGCTGTACTTCCCCCCCTGGAGGTCATAAACTTCAACTTAGCGTTAATCTTATCCTCGTCATTCTTGTATTCAAATTTCTCCATCTGGAAATTGAATTCCTCCTGCATCTTCGAGGAGACAAATTCGAACAACTCATCGTAGTGTTCATGAGAGAAGGAGTGAACATGTCGCATGTTGTAAGCAAGTAAGCTCTCCTGTATCTTAGTCAGAACGGAGCACAGGACACAGTTCACTGCTTTACTTAAAATGACCGGCACGGTTATATGGTTATTCACTCTGCAGAAATGGTGGAGGTTCTCAAACTGGATAACGATCTCGTAATTCCACTCCTTCTCGATGTCAAAGCTTAGTTGTGTCTTCTTTAGTGCGTTCATCACTTTGGCTGCTTGTACATCCCCCTCGGGGGCGGTGGAGACATACTCTCCTCCTCCCTGCGTTTCGAGGGGGTCTTCCCCTCCGCTGTTAACCACTCGGAGAGTATGCATCTGTGTGTTCTTTGCCCCCGCTTCTCGCAGAATCAACTTCCTATCGACACCCACACCATAAATCACATCACTCAAGCATATGCTTTTGTACGTACTCAATATTTTCTCCGCAATTTCGCTAATGTAACTTCTCATCGCGTTCGCATCGCTGGCGGTGGTGGTCCCTCGTTCTTCGTCCATCTTGATCGGCACATATATCATCGGTTTGGAAGTCAACTTAGAGGTGAGGAAAATCTCCTTCAGTCGGGGGATTCCCATCGTGACGTTCTCCGTTCCAGCCAAGTGGAATGTGTTAAGAGTCATTTGCGTGGCGGGCTCCCCAAATGATTGGGCTACCAATATGCCGATTGACTCTCCCGGGTCGCAGAGGGATCTGAAATACTTGGACTTGAGGAGGGATGCAGACTGCATGTCGAAGTCCTCCGGGAGGCTGTAGCAGTCGGCGAGGTTCAGGTCATTCGCTATGGTGTGGTGGAGCTTCTCTCGGAAGCGCTCGGATGTCGCTCCTATGTACGAGTAGGGCGAGAAGTGGGTCTCGAGGGGGTCGCACTCGTCGCAGCCCTCGTCGCTTCCGCCGCTGCTTCCACCGCTGCTTCCCATGCCGCTCCCCCCGAAGAGTCGCTCATTCCGCTGCATCTTCGCCGCGGCATCGTGGAGGAGGTATTTGCTAAACGCGACGTGGTAGTTGCTAATCAGATCCTTGGGCGTATCGAGGTAGGAAATCCTGGACGGGTCGATACCATCCTCGCCATACAGAAACTGGATAATTGCATTGTCCTCATTCCTGACCGTTCCATCATAGTGCAGTATCACGGACTCCATGCATTTAATGAGGCACCTCTGAATGTAGCCCGATTTGGCCGTCTTCACGGCTGTGTCGATAAGTCCCTCTCTTCCAGACATGCAGTGGAAAAAGTATTCCTGTGGTCTTAGTCCCTCCAGAAAGCAATCTGTGATTAGGCCACACGCCCTAGCACCATAATCGTATCGATGAAAACTAGGCAATGTTTTCCCTGATCTCATCCTTGGCACTCTCTTCCCCTCTAAGTACTGCTGATCCAGCATGCCACAGATCATCGCGTAATTCACTTTGCTCCCTTTCGCACCGGTAAAAATCATATTGCTGAATCCGTTGTTTAAGAACTTATTCATTAGGTTCTCCATTGAGATTAGATTGTTCGTATTTGAGGAGATACGACAAAGGTATGGCTGGAAGAGAGAGTCAATTAATCCGTCGAAATCGCCTCTCATCTGGAGAAAGTACGTTCCGATGAGGTACTCCAGCTTATTATATACATCTTTCATATTATAAAATTGGAAGCTCGTGTCTTCATCCGTTCCTTTCTGATTCACGTAATCCTCGTAGTAGTGCTCCTTTCCATTAAATGATAGATTGCCTATCTCGTCGTTCAGTAGAAACGATGGGAAGCTCTTCTTCAGACAGTCCCTTATCGTTCGTTCGTCATGTTCGTTTATACGATGGGGGGGCTCGTCATGCTCTCCCCCGTACGGTTGTCTGCCTCCCTGTTCCTCTTCACTGTGCTCTTCAAACCCGCGCCACTCTTCCATGTCCTCCAATAGGCGCAAAAATTTCGTCAGCATTTCCTGCGTAGTGGCTCCTCTTCCCCGTTGCTGTGGTTGTTCCGGTTCATCCGGTTCATCCGGTTCATCCGACTGCTCCCGCTTCTCCTGCTGCTCTGCTTGCCCCTGCGCCCTTTCCGCGCTGATGCTACTCAGCACGTGATGCAAGATCTCCTCATTGCTCACCTCGTGTGAGAGGTCGTTCACGCAGCTAGCCAATGCGGGGAAGTGTTTCAACACACTTCGGCTCTGGAACATCTCAAACAAGACGTATACCTTGAGCTTCCTGCTGCACCTGGCTCTCCTCAAAAAATGAAGAACCTTTTTTATTACCCTCATGGCCTTGTGCCCCGAAAAGTTAGGGGTGTCCATGAAACTGGGTTCGCTAAGCGACCGGAAGAGTTTCCTCACCAGCGTGCTGCAAAGGGGAGGGGGCGGTTGTTCCTCCGCTTCGTTCGCTTCGTCTGCATCGTCCGCTTTGTCTTCTTCCTCCGCTTCGTCTGCATCGTCCGCTTCCCCTCCTTCCCTCCGGAGTGGCCGCCTCCTCATCATTCTGTCCAGCGCGCGCTCTACGCGGGAGGAGGGCCCCAAATCGTCGCCCTCTCTCCCCGGGCGCTGCGCCAACAGGTGCTGTATTTCCTTGTTCAGAAGAGCGGCGAAGTAGGTCTCTCCCTTTATGTCCAGGTGGTCCTCGGATGGAGCAGGACCCTTCTCATCTTGATGTGGCTCACTCGGGTGGTGGCTCCCTTTCCTCCGCTTTTCAGTTGGAAGTAGATTCACTGGGAACCCCCCCGCTCGGCAGTCATTGATGAAGTCACTCCTACGTCTGTACCGATCATACAGGCCATTCACAAACATATCGTTGTTCTCGTTGTGCGAATTTAACTTCTCCCTGCTGTAAGCATTCATCTGACTGATGTCTGCATTGAGAGCTTTGGCAATAGAGTGAGTGAATAAATTCTGGAGATAAAATCCAGTGAAGGAGATCCTCTTTCGTATGTTTCGCTTTTCCTCCCTGGCGTCTTTCTTGAGAATAAAATCGTAAAGACTGAGACTTGTACCCCGTAACTGCAAGAAGCTAATGAAGAGCCTTCCAAAACAGTCCAACATAACTGCTGCGGTTTTCGGGCCGAACAATTCATAGCATAAATGAACAAAACTGTTTGAGCTAGCTCCGAAATGTAGTTTGTCTAGGACTCCTTGGAGTAACTCGGAATTTTTAATTATCACTTCGCATTCATTTATTGGATCGAAAGACCAGAGTGATGGATCTGTCTTGGCCTTCGCATAGTAGTTTATCCCTTTGTAATTTCGCATAAATTCATTGTCTCTCCTCTGATTGTACGTCTCGATGGCAACTCGATCTATTATGGTCTTCAGTATACTAGTTATGAGCTGCTTGCCTGTCCAGAGTCTCCTTGGGAAGAGGATGGCGGGCTGCTCCGTCACGATGGTGAAGTGGGTTCTGTTCAGCACCACGGCGTAGGGGTCCAGGTAGCTGTGGTTTCGTATCTTCCATCGTATCCTCCAGCTGCTATGGGGGGAGTTGCCCCCTCCAGTGGGTCTCCTCCCCCTTTCGAAGAAGAAGCAATCCTTCCGGGAGAGCAAACAGTTCAGGGCGCACTGCAGAAGATTGCAGTACTCGTCGTAGTTGAGGAACGTCTCCAGAGAAGTCAAGTGGAGTCCTCCCAGGATGAAATCCTGTGCCAGACCTCTCAACGGAGAGCCGTCCTTAAAACTCGTGAAGAGAAAATCGCTATTCATCAAGTGCGTCGCCTCCGATCTCGCATGTGCTGTTTGAAGAAGGTGCAGATTCATTTCGTCCCCATCGAAGTCTGCATTGTAGGAGCTACAATTAACATAGTTCAAACGGAACACTTTCTCCTTTTCGAAGATCTTAATGAAGTGAGCCATGATGGAAAACTTGTGCAGAGTTGGCTGTCTATTCATGATGACGATGTCTCCATCTCGAGCATGTCGGTGTAATACCAGCGTTGAGCTCTGCTTCCTCAAGTTCATCCTTTCCAGCTGCCTTACCAGAATGGCTCTTTTTTCGTAATCCTCGGAGAGCTTAAAAACGTTTCCCTTTGAGTCTCTATAACTTAACGCACCAGGGTAGATGTCGGGTCCGTTTAGAATGAGCCGCTTCACATAATCGAAATTATTCTCCGTAATGCACTCATCCATAGTTAGCTTTTTTGCAAACTCGAGTGGCACTCCGATCTGATTTGTCTCTATGAAGGTATCTGGAGAAATGACTGTACGAGCACAATTGTTTACTCTCTTTCCCATTATGTTTTTTCTCAGAATTCCTTCCTTCTTGTCGAGGATCTCCCTCACTCCCTGGTTACTCATTTTTGCATTCGGTAGATGCACAGCGAAGCTGCTGTCAAAGAAGCTATTCACTGCAACCTGCAGGTTGCTGAATAGAATGTTAATATAGGCACTCTTATTTCGGTAAATGAGGTCATAGTTTCTTAAGAAATCCACTTTGGTGATCTCCGTATCGTCATCCATAATGTCAGCATTGAATTTGTACTTCACTCGGATTGAGAAGAGGGAGAACATTTCCTTGTAGAGGTGCAGTTCCCTCTTGTTTTTTTCTATAAGATCCTCGAAATTGACTTCCTTCTTCGCACTAATGCATAGATTCAGGAGAGCGTTAAACTTACTTAGCACATTGATCATCTTCGATTTTTTATGAACCCCCCTGCGTTTTACTCTGAATCTGTTGGCACTGATCCCCATGTCGTGCAGGAAAAACACTTTGTGTCCGTCCCTCTTTGTGAATGGATACAACAGTGTCATAATCTCTCGATCGTTTTTTTTGAAAATCTTTTCCAGCAGAGCGATCACTTGGAAGCTGAAGAGCCTCAAGGTGCTCTTCTCCTTGACGTTCTGCTTCTTGTAGTTCTTCACCATTTGGGGGAGAGAAGGGGCGGGAGAAGGGGAAGCGGTGTCCATCTCGTTCGCCGCCATTGCCACTTCATCTGCCTCGTCCGCCTCGATCCCAACTTCATCTGCCTCGTCGCGCTCCACCATCTCCTCCAGCTCCTCCTCCCCATCCACGGGGCCGTCCCCCTGCCCCCGCTTCTTCCCCGATCGCATATACTTCTTCAAAAATGAGTTCTGCAGGTATAGGCCAACAAAATTAATAGTGTCTCTCTTCTGGGACATCCTGGCCGATATGTTTCTCCTAAATTTGCAGCTCTGGCAACGTCCACTCTTCTTCATGATAAATTTGAGTGTCTTCGTCAGCTGTAGGTACTCCTCATAGTTGTAGTTGGACTGGAAGGCGAGCTTGGTCGGGTCGAAGTTAAACCTTTTAATTTTCTCCTTCAGCTTCTTCAGGTTGACCGGGGGGAGGTGCCCCTTCTGGTGGGTTCCCTCCTCAGCTTCGTCTGTGCTGTTGGATGTGTCTACTCGGTTGGCGTGGTTCCCTCCGTCCGTTTCGATTTCGTAGTCCCCCCCGTCATTTTCAATTTGGTAATCCTTCCCCGCCGCTTCGATTTCATCGTTCTGTTTCTCCCCTTCACTCGTGTAATTCGTCGCGTCGAGCTCCTCCCCGGAGGTTGTCCCGCCCCCCTGCTCACAAATCCTCCTATAAAGATTCTCAATCTCCTCGACGACGTACTCCCTGTCGTAGTTCCTCTTGCAGACGATCTTATTGGAGCTCTCGATCTCGTTCAGAGCCCTCAGCTGGTAAATATGCTTCAACAAAAAACCTGTATCCTCAGAGCAACACAGTTGGTAGCAGTTCAGACAGACTAGTCCTAGCAGCTCACAGAGGTCTTTGTAAAATAACGGATTGAATAATGGAAGCGTGAATTCTAAGTGTCCAATATGTCCCAGGCAGTTTTCATGCCTTTCAAAACAGACGCTACAAATCTGTCTATAATCGATTGTCCCATATTTGGGATCGAAATACATTTTGGAGGTCACTCCATTGGAGCTTGTTTTTTCATACTCCATCAATTCGGTCTCATACTTTCCCAGAGAAATCCTCCTGAGCTCTTCGCTGTTCAGCACCCCCAGCTCTGCACTCCGCACCTCCACACTGACCACTTTGTTGATGTCGTACATGGTGGGTCGTCTAAGCAGAGGGGGGGATGACTAGGGAGCAGCCTCAGCATGGAGCAGACCCTCTCAGTAGCGAGTGCTTAACCCCAATCGGTCGTAAAAACGCAACCCGTGTGAAGCGTGCATCCATGTAGGTGCAGATGGGGTGCTGCCAAAACGTGTGGTTGCCTGAATGCGTCACGGTTTCTCTTCTGAGCACCACGCCGCGCATGCGAACGGGTACATTCATATGCGTGGTTGCGCCTTTCCCCCGTTGGGACTGTCCCAGGGACTGGTGAAGCTCAACTGGGGGGAGGAAAAAGGGGGGAAGTTCCGAAGAAGAGGCAGAGAAGTGGGAAAAAAGGGACAAAAAAAGGGGGCAAAAGGGAGGCGAGACATAGACGATGCAGTGCCCCCCTTTTCCCTGCACAAGCAGGGTCACCTAAAGAGTGGCGGAGAAAAAAAACAAAAGCCACTCCCCCCTCAGACGTTAAAGCGTGTTCATAAAGGTAAGAATAACTCTGCATCTCCCCATGCATATACCTATGTAACCCTCGCGTGCGCGGCGGAAATTACATATCACTCCGCGCAACATCCCAAATGATGCAGCGCAGCATACTTATAACGTACGCAAGTAGATACCCAGTAAATGGCAAGTACGTACGCTCTAAAGGGGTTATGATTATATTAATTAAGGATGTCACGCAAAGAATGATGGGGGAAAAAAAAAAAAAAATCCCATTTGTATATCAATTTTTTTTTTTCATGCTTCTCCTCTGTTCGCTTCCGTTTAAACGGAATAACTGCAGCGATACGTTTTTTTAAATTGCTTTTTTTTTTTTTGGATCGCCGTCGGGGGGGACGAGGGCGCGGTGCCATTTTAAATCCAGTTGGAGAATCGTCTCCTCATGCGGAATTGTACATACGGCTTTTCCAGTATGAAAAAATTAAGGATAATAATGTACCTTTTTTTTTTTTTTTCCCTTCCTACTTGAATCACACAATTGCGACAACATGGCAGGTTGTAGGGGCAGCACCACGGGGAGAAAAGAAGAAAAAAAAACAACGCTTTGGGCGCAGCAGACATAAAAGGTGAGGGGTCATGCGATAGGGTCGATGCTGCAACGGGTAAGGGTTACACTCCTGAGTTGTTAAGCGCAACGAGGATGTTTGTTCCACGTGGCGTTCTTCTTCTTCCTCCTCCGCACTGCCAACTTCTTTCCCCCCCGCGGTTCACATCAGATCGAATCACAGCAGAGTCCCTTCCCGTTTGGTATCACCCCAGATGATGCGGCGCCCCACAGGGAGAGGCCATCATCCCCCCTGACGCATTTCTTTTCCTTTCTTTTCTTTTTCCGACTGGTTCCTCTCCTCTTTTTTAAAATATACATGCCCGTATGCGTCACGGGCCAGGCAACTCCATCGGTATTTAGCCTCTCCACAATTTCGCAATTTACAAAAAAAAAAAAAGAAAAAAAAAGAACAAGTTACACTTATGTAGCAGCACGACGTGAGACTGAGACACCCACATCCGTCTGTGCAATTTTCTCCACACAGAGAACACCTCCTCCCCCGTCCCATTTAAAAAAAAGAAAAAAAAAGGTCTAACCAAATGGGGTTAGGATGGGGACCCTCCTTTGATGTCACCAGTTGGTCCATTTCCTCTCGTGTTCACTGCCACTCATACACGTGACGTTTCCATTTGGGGACACGCTGGCAGGTCTAACCGCGGAATGAGTGCCGAAGTGCAACGGGTGGGAATCTGCCCTGCTCTGTATCATCTCATCACGAGGGTGACCCTTCACGGTTAATCCTAAATGGGGTAACCTCTATGCAGTTTGCCTTCTTTTTTCCCCTTTACACTGCCTCCCCCCTCCAGGGTTCACACAAGAAGGCAAACGCACCTAGTTCGGATGCACCAATTTGATGCACTGGGACAAGTTAAAAAAAAAGGAGGTAACGCATGAGCAGTGCACGAGGAGGAAGACCCGCCGCGTGCATTGAAGTAGCAGGGGTGTGGATCTTAGTGTGAAAAAAAAAAAGAAAACCTCCGGAACAATCTGGGAGAAGAGCGAATAGCTTTCCACTTATATTAGCACTTCCCGCCCATCGCGAAAGGGGTAAAGGTGAAGCCGCTTCGTTTGTACATCCCTCCGCAAAGCGCGCCATTCATCGACGACCGCCTGCACCACAAGCACATAAGGCAAACTCCCCCCATGGAGAACATCCGAATTGTGCTCAGCGAAGACCTGCGGGGGGGAAAAGTGCACGCAGAGCTCCAGGCGCTCTTAAAGGAGAAGGAGGAAAAGGACAAGAATGAAACGGAGTATGGGAGGATGCTCCAGGGGGGGCACTCCCAACCGGGCCTCTTCCAACCCGATGGCGTGGGCGGGACACCCCTTCTGGAGAAGCGCACCTGTAACATTTATACGAACTTCCCCTACAAATCTCACTTCGTGAAGAATCACGAGAGGAGGAAGCGGGAGGGGATGAAGCGGGAGGGTGGCCCTGAGAGGTACGCGGACCACATGGAGCTCAGTGGATACAACCAAATGGAGGAGACTCCCCCGCCGAGTCACCTCCAACTAGCATTGATTCTTGTCATCATCGATGAATTCTACATCGAAGAGGAATGCCCGCTTCTACGCACCTCCATTTTGACCAAAATCGAAAACATACAAAAAGCGTATGACCATGTTAAGGTCATTTGTCTCTTCATAGGAGTGCGTGAGTATTTAATTAGGACGGACTGTAACAGGGAAGTTGATGGGTCCTTCCCCGGGAGTAGTCTCACTGAGGGGGGGAAATCCAACTCACGTGATGGAGAACACTCCAAGATGAACGGAAACATGCTCGATAGGCTTATGACGACACTGCTTATTCGTCACCACGTGGATTCCATCGAGATGGAAAACGACAAATACCTGCACAAGTTCATCTTCAGATGCTGCCGCTATCTCTACGTGTCGAAGATTCGGAAGCTCAATTCATATTTTAAGGTCAAGCCGGCTGGGCTCAGCCAGCTGAAGCTTTCGCAGTTGCATCAGGAGGGGAAGTCAAACGGGGGGAAGTCAAACCGGGAAAAGCTGCATCAGGAGGAGTCAAACCAGGAGGAGTTGAGCCCGCCTCCCCCCGGGATGCTGCCCGGCACGCTTCCCAGCACGCTGCTCAAACGAAGACATTTCTCCACGTGGGTCTCCCAGTTGATGCAAATCAGCGGCCTGTCCGAAGATGCCTCCATAAACATCGCCCAAGCCTTCAACACCCCCTTCGACCTAATCATGCACTTGAAAAAAAAAGACGACGAAGAGTGCTTAAGCGATTTTATCATCAGTACGCCCTACGGGGATCGGCGCCTCGGCAGGGCCCTCTCGCGCAAGGTGTTCCGCGTTTTCTCCCCCGACGCGCATCCGGACAATTACGTTTCGTAGGCCCGAAAGCGATAGTTGCTGTTGCAGCATTGTCGTCATTTCGTCCTGCGGTTGGCGCGGCCCAAAGTGGCATTGTTTTTTTTTCAGCCCCAGAGGTGCGAAATGTTGCTGGCTCTTTTTGTTCACTTTTTTGTGTACTTTTTTGTTCACTTTTTTGTGTACTTTTTTGTTTACTTT